GAAATACGTACTATTTTGATTCAAGTGCCACAGTCCCGCCTGCAGTCTGAAAGGAGCAGACCAGCTCACAGGCAAACAACACAATTCAAAGCCCCTGAATCACACTGTAGCTAGAAAGAGCTGAAGCAGTCAGAGGCAAGCCCCTCACCTTGCAGATGGGTAATGAGAACACACTCAAGGCCTGGGGCCAGCCACACCCTTTAGAAGCACAACTCACGGCACAGGGTGACAGCCTTGGCACGAGGCTCAGAGTGCATTTCCTGGGTTCCCAACCTGTCTGGCGGCCACAGCGACTCTGGGTGGGCCGATCCTGAGTTCAAATCCCAACTCTCCCCGACCCTCAGCCAAGTGAGATCTTAGCCAAGTCCCTTGGTCTCTGAGCTCTTGGTTTCCTCATCTGTCAAAAAGATCTATAACAACACCGAGCTCTCCAGGTTGATTCAAGGAATAAAGGAAGTAAGAGGACGGAAGCACATTCACCCACTGCTTTGCCTGTGCTATTTATTCTTTATCGCCTCTGATCTCCTGTCTTTCCAGTCTGAAGTGGACTTCTCAGGACTGGACTCCTGTGTCACCACCTTCAAAACCTTGCCTATTCTTCAATACACAGCTCAGATCCAGGCTGCCTCTGAAAACTTCCTGATCTCCCAGTGAGGAGCATACCGGCCTCCGCTGAGGCCTCACAGCACTTCACAGATAGTTCTCTCTGTGGATGATGTCTGGTCCCGCCTCAAATGAGAGTTACTCACATACTTGCCTTTCTTATCCAACTAGCACGTACTGAGTCCAAGGCAGGGCCTATGTCACTCATCCACCAAGCCCAGCGTGGTACAGTAGCTCATCATGGTGGAGAGTCGATGAATCATGGACAACTTGAACTGGACAGTTTATCACCATCATCAGTCAGCACCTAAGGAGTGTCTCCGCCGGCAGAGGCAGGCTCTGGGGATAGTACAAAGGTGAAGTGGACAGGGTCCTTGTTTGCAGAGCAATCCCAGTCTAGCTGTAGTGACTGGGCACACACACACCAACACACACACACACACACATGCAGAACAGAAAAGGCCTAAGGTAAACTTGCACAAAAGCAGTACAGGTAAGGTTCTGGAAAGGTTCTGGCAAGGTTCTGGAAAGGTTCTGGAAAGCTGTCAGTAAGGAGGACCAGGCCCTGAAACCAGGCTCAGACAGTTAGGGGAGGCTTCATGCGGCCACAGGAAGTGAGGGAGGGTATTTGCCATGAGAGAACAGAGGCAGAAGGCAGAGGTACTGAGCACTGGGAACGGGGGAGAGTCCAGGCAATGACACTGGAAGGGCAGCTATGCCCAAAGAGACAGGAGGGCTGACTTGAACAAGGCCATGTTATGAGTACGGCCTCATGGAGATTAGCATGATGGTTAAGCTGGGCCCATTCAGTGCTCATAGCAACCCCTGGAGAGGACTGTTTATTATCCTCATTCAGCACATGGGCAAACTGAGGCCAGAGATGCTCAGGCACTTGAATGCTAAGCATCAGGAGCTAGGCAACTCCTGGGCAAAGCTGTGTTTTAAGAAGCACTGTTAAATTAATGGGCAGGCTGGGGTCACACAGGGGCCAGAGAGGGGTTAGAAATCTGCCTGGATCCTGTGGGCAATGTCCCCAACTACGCAAGAACTCAGGAAAAACCAGAGGTACAAGACATTCTTCCAGAAACTTTGTTTCCTTAAGGATTTTATCTGCAGTCTATCTACTTCGCACTGCTGATTTTGTTCCATGAGTAGGGGTGGGGAACTGAGAGGGAGAGGGTAGCTGAGGAAAAAGAAATTCCTGCTCTTTGTAAAAGATGTGCAGGAGAGGCTCACTTGCAGGCCACCGCAAAGAACCAAGGGTGACCTGAATATTTTGGAAAAGTAACCCCCAAAAAGGAGGAAAAACAAGAAGCATCCAGACCGGTGGGGAGGCACAGGTAAAAGCCACCAGCCCCAGATCACAAGCCTGAACTGAGGAGGTAGCAGTGGGTGCAGGAAGAGGAGAATTTATCCTCATCAGACTTGTGGGAGGCAGGGACAGGACTTGGTCACCAAGCAAATGCGGAAGCAGGGTGAGGGTAAGGGGACCCCAGGAGCAAAGCTCAGTGATGCTGAAGTGTGTCCACCCCTGACTGAGAGGTAAAGGATAAGAAACAGAAGTTGGCTTTGTCTGGCACACGTCAGGTCTGACGGGCAGCAGGAAACAGAGGAGGCATTTCTCTTCTCACCTGCGAAAAACGTTCATCTAAAGACCGTCCCTCAGGACCCCGCTGACCACCCCAGGGTGGCTTGGAAGGAGAGCCTGTCCAGAGCCTTCAGAGTCCAGGTGCAGGAYTCAACCTACAGGTGCCGCCCTCTCCCCGCCTCCGTGTTCTCCGGGGTCCACTCTGAGAGTCACCTGAGGTCGCTGAGGACCCTGGGGCTGCCACTTTGCTGCCTACCCATCCGGTGCCACCCGGACGCCTAAGTCCCCTGAGGAAGAAGTGAACTGCCCGGCCTCCACCACAAGGACGCCCTTGCCACGTCCCCGAGCACTTCCCTAGGTTCCACTCCCCACTTCTGACAGCACCGGGCCGGCTCCGCCTCCTAAAAGCCCCACCAGTACCACCCAACACTGCCCCGGCTCCGCGTCCCAACACCTTCACCAGTCCTGCCCCAGCACCGCCCTGGCTCCTCCTCCCAACCTCCCCATCCGTCCCGCCCTGCCCCGCCCCGGCCACGCCTCCCAGCCACCACCGTCAGTCCTGATCTGCTCCGCCCCGGCTCCGCCCCCAAACACCCCAACAGTCCCGCCCACCTCCGCCCCGGCTCCGCCTCCCAACCGCTCCACCAGTCCTGCCCCAGCGCCGTCCCGGCTCCGCCTCCCAACCACCCCACCAGTCCCGCCCTGCTCCGCCCCGGCGACACCACCCAGCCACCCCTCCAGTCCCGCCCTGCCCCGCCCCGGCCTCGCCTCCCAGTCACCCCCACCAGTCCTGATCTGCTCCGCCCGGGCCCCACCTCCCAACCACCCCACCAGCCCGCCCAGCCCCGCCCCGGCTCCGCCTCCCAGCTGTCCACCCAGCGCTTCCCCAACCCCGCATCGCTCCCCTGCAGCTCCTCCTCCCAGCTATACCACCAGTCCCACCCAGCTCCTCCCCAGCTCGCCCCGCTCCTCCCCCCAAAACCTGCGGTCCGGGGTCCCCAGGCCCGCCACACTCCACCCTAGCCCTGCCCCAGCTCCTCCTCCCAGCGATCCCGCAAACGGCGCTACCCCTCCCCAGCCCCAGCCTGCTCTTCCCAGCTACCCACCAGCCCTGCCCCACTCGTCCCCAGCTCCTCCTCCCAGCTTTCTCCGACACCCCTCTGCTCCGCCGGAACCCCGCCTGGCCCCTCCACAGCTCCTCCTCCCAGTTTTCGCCCTGCCCCACACCCCTTTGGCCGCTCCTTCACAAACCTGTCCGCCAGTCCCTCCCTGCCCCTTCCCAGCTCCGCCCCGCTCGACCGCCCCTCGTCCTCCTAGCGGTCCACCAGCCACGCCCCACTCCTCCCCCCGTTTCGCCTTTCCGGGGTCCCCCTCCCTGCCCTACAACTCCGCAGGTCCTCACCCACAGTGGCCCCCCAACTCCTCCCAAGGCTCCACGTCCAATTCCACCTCCCCAACGTAATCCCGCTGGACCCCAGCTCAGCCTTCCCACTTTCCTCAGCTCCACCCGCCCCTCTCCAGCTCCTCCACTCAACTCCGCCCGCCCAGGTCTCCATCCCCGGTGGTCCCCCAGCTTCTCCTGTGGCGCCTCCCCACGCTCCGCTTCCCCAGCGCTCCCCAGATCCCCCCTGCACCTCCGCCGGCTACACCTCCTCAGGCCCACCCTGCTCTTCGCACAGCTCCTCCTCCGCCAAATTCCCCCCCCCCCAGCTCAGTTCTGCTCCTTGCCGGTCAGTGCCCTAGCGCCCCCCCCCCAACTCCTTCTCACAGCCGGAGCCCACTCCTCTTGCAGGGGCGCCCCAGGTACTCCCCGAAACCTGCCTCACAGCTCCTCCCCCAGCTCCTCCCCACAGGCCGCCCGCCCGAACCCCTCCCCCAGCCCCGCCTCCCGTAGTCCCGCCCCACTGGCCGGTCCCCACCGCGCCCACCCCGCCCCTTCTCGCCGCGCCCCCATTTCTTTCCTCACTTCCGGTTCCGCCCCAGCCGCCGGGGCCTACCTCCCCACCGAGCGGGAGCGTCCCCCGCGAGTCGCGGCGCGGTGAGTCCAAACGTCTCCTAGCGGCAGGCGCTGGCGCGGCTCTGTGCTTGCGCACATGAGTGCGTCTGTACGTAAGGGCTCGGCTGCGGGCCTCCGCGCTTGCGCACGGGCCTGTTCGGCCCCTCCGTGTGCGTACGTGGGTTCGAGCCTGCGCACGCGCCGCAGAGAAGGGGCGCCGGCGCCTGAGCGAGCCTGTCAGGTGAGGGACCGCCGGCGCCTGAGCGAGCCTGTCAGCGGTCCCCAGGGCCGGGCCGCGCCGATGGCCTCAGGGTGGCCGCGGCGATGGCCCGAGAGCCACGATGCGGGCGCAGCACTCTGTCCTCCCTCCGCGGCCCGCGTCGTCTCCTCGCCGGCACGTGGGAGGCGGTGGTCCTGGCGCTGGTGGCGTCGGTGGGTCCCTCGGAAGCGGCCGATCCCGCCCAGTGGCCGCCGCTGGGTCAGCCGAAGGGTGCCCGCGCCTCCGTGCCCGGACCCGGCCGCCAGCAAGGGAGCCGGGAAGCCGGTGCTGCTGAGGCCGGCTCGGCCCTCCGCGGGACGGTATCTCTGGGCTGGGGTTTCCCGGGCCGGGCTGGGCCGGGCCGGGGCGGGGCGGGCGGGTCTGGGAGCATGCACAGAGCTGCCCAGGCCACCCTTCCCTGTCCCCTCCTCCCGCCACTGTCACAACGCCCGCCATCCTTCGAAGTGCCCGTACCAGCGACGGGCCTGTGCGCGTAGAAGCAGGAGCATGCCGGTCCTCCCGTCACCAGCACCCCCCCCCGCCACTGTGTCCCTCCCTGCCTCCCTTGGGCCCTGGGCTGTGACCTACCTGAGGTTCCCCGGCTGTGCAGCTGTGCGGTGTAGCCTGTGGCACTCCTCCCGCTGGGGCCGACTCGGGATTTTATTGAGGGGAACGGGGTTGTAGGGTCCCCAGATCCTTCCCCTGAGACAGTGTGAGGGGGTGGGGTCATCTGTCTCCTGTCGGATAAGGGGTCTGCTAGGCTGGAAGGACACGATCTGCTTCCAGGAGAGGATCTTCTCTGCTGCTGCTGGCTGGGGCGTCAACGTGATGAGCAGAACCAAACCTTGAGGGAGGTGTTTCCCATGCCAGGGGCCCTCCTGAGTCCCAGTGGTCCCCCAACCCTGCTGAGCAGAAAACCCGTGCTGGCACATCCGCCAACATTGTCCTTTTCTACCTGATGACTTTGTCTTCTCCCCGCCACCCACCCCAGTCCTTGTGCAGGTGACGAAGCCCAGACAAGTGGAACAGCGTTTCCTGCTCAGACCACAAAGCAGGTACTCTGCGGGGTGGGGCAGGAGGGCACCCTTACGGTTCCATCCCTCGAGGGGCTCCGTCCACACTGTTCCGATCTCCTTGTGGTTTTGTGGCCCCGATGACAAAAGGGCTGGCCGAGAAACTGAATGGCAGACACAAGGCAAACCTGCAGTCTGGTTATCGACCCTCGTAGAAGAAAGAGAAAGGGCCAGGCCACAGGGGGACATCCAGCCTCCCTCGTGAATAATCCGGACCCAATGAACAGGGCGACCCTCTGTCACCCGTCGGGTTGGCAGAGCTGGAACAGGGTAACGGTGCTCAGGGCCGACAGTGGAGGAGGGAGGACATGGAACCCTTGCCCGTGGTTGGTGGGGCGTACACAGGGGAGCCTTTGGGGAAGGTGGTCCGCCGGCCCGTACATCAGCATCTCAGGGGCGCATGCCGTGACCCTGGCCACCTTCTAAACAGGTCCTCTGCCCGCGAGTGTCCGTTGTGACGTCCTCTGTGGTGGCAGAAAGTACACAGCAGCCTGGGAGTCTCCATCATCAGTAAGGGAAGAGTCAGCAGATGGAGGGACAGCCAACAATGGGAAGCCACACAGGCAGTGAAAAAGATGATAGATGACGATGTCCAGGCATGGAGGAATGTGCTGGACGTGCCCCGGCTGGAGAAATCATTGTGCGCCCTGCGGGGATGTCCGGGACGGAGCTTACACCTACCTCTGAATTAGTTTGCCGCGGTGGTGGGAGCAGACTCCCACAGACTGGGTGGCTTAAAGAGCAGAAAGGAATGGTCTCCCGTTTCTGGGGGCTGGAAGTCCGAGCTCTAGGCGCCAGCTCTTTTCGCCTCTTCTGAGAGCTGGGAGAGGATGTGTTCCGTCCCTCCCCCGCAGCTTCTCGTGGTTTCCTGGCCATCTGTGGCCTCCCCTAGCTGGTGGATCGCTGCCTGCCTCTTCACATGCCTGTCCCTGAACTTCACCCTTTTATGAGGACACCAGTCATACTGGGTGAGGGTCTGCCGAGCTGAGCTCATTTGAACTCAAAGGGTCTGTAAAGACCTTTTCTTTATATGGAAGGTTACGTTCTGAGGGACTGGGGATTGAGGCTTCCAACGTGCGAATTTGGCGGGGACGTGATGAGCAACCCATAAGGACGTATAAAGGCCCTGAGGGAGGGATGCACTGGGCCTGCTCCAGGGATGGAAGGAAGGCCTTTGTGGCTGCAGGGTGGTGAGTAGAGGGGAGAAGGGAGCAGATAGCAGGGGGTTGGGGTGAAGATCACGTGGGGCCTTGAGGCCCTGGCGAGAAGTGTGGATCTGTCCTGGATGGGACAGGCGGCCCCTCGAAGGTTCTGGCAGGGGAGTGACAGGATGGGTCACTCCTGTACCAGAACCGCTCTGTCCACGGTGCAGACACTAGCCTGCTGCGCGCCCACGGCGAGTCTGAGGATGATCGGGAGACCGCCCGAGAGGGCAGCGGATCCTGGGGAGACTTGGACTAGGATGGTGGCCGTGGCGACGACGGAGAGGGGTCAGGCTCTGAGGAGGTTGGGGGAGCGGCGCCCGTGTGATGTGCGTGCCCGGCGCAGGAAAGGGAGCCCGGGCAGCTGCTGGGTCGGGGACTGGAACGACAAGACACATTGATGGTGAAACCACTTGCAGAGGTGGAACGGAAGTGGATTTGAGGGTGGCGGCGGTTGGGGACCCGAGGCTACTGGCTCAGGAAGGTGGAGACGAAGCGGGAGTGGCCCGTGTGAAGGGGGACGGAGCAGGCGAGCCTGCGGTGTGCCAGTCTGAGAAGAAGGGAGGGAGGGGTGGTTCAGGGCACCGGGCTGTCGGGCCACGACTTAGATGAGGACAGAACAGACACGAGGCGGGTCACTGGTGCCTCTGGTGGCCCGTGTGTTCCTGGAACGTGGGGGGTGGTGCATGGCGAAGGGGCAGAGGCCGCAAGTGTAGACTAGCGTTCCGGGGACCTCTGCTGTGCAGAGATTCCGAGAAGGCCTCAGGAGCCCGAGGCCTGTGTGGGCTGGGGGAGGGGGCGGGTTGGGGGGAGTCTTTGTCCTTGTGGTGAGGGCTACACAGGTGTGGCAAACCCAGGGGCCTCCCCACGTGTGCTCTCCTGGGGCTCAGTGGCCTCTGTTGTGGCACTGACCACATGCTGTCCTGGCCATGCCTTTGTCTAGCCGTCTCCACCCTCCTGCGCGAGCTCGCCAGAGACTCCGTCTGATGGACAGGTCGTCTTGAGCACCGGCCCCTTCCTTTGGGCCCGTCAGCTGACCGTGTAGTGGTAGAAGGAAGGAGCCAAGGCTCTCTGCTCCCCCACCAGGTCGGTGGGGTCCCAGGGCGACCCGTGGGACACTGGGGAGAGGTCTTGCCCGCGGGTCATGAGCTGGGAGCGCCGGGCGTGATGCTCATTGATGTGCGTGGTTCCGTGTTTCCGCAGGCCAGGTGAGGCCCCGGAGCCGTAGGGAGATGAAGTTCGGCTGCCTCTCCTTCCGGCAGCCTTACGCTGGTTTTGTCTTAAATGGGGTCAAGACCGTGGAGACGCGTTGGCGTCCTCTGCTGAGCGGCCACCGGAACTGTACCATCGCCATCCACATTGCCCACAGGGACTGGGAAGACGGCGCGTGGAGGAAGCTGCTGGCCGAGAGGCTTGGGATGAGCCCCGCTCAGATTCAGGCCTTGCTTCGGGAAGGGGAGAAGTATGGCCGCGGTGTGATAGCAGGCAAGCGACCGTAGTCCAGAGGCTGCTGGGCCATCTCCGAGGGCTGCCCCCCAGCGTCTGGCTCCGGGTTTGGTGGCTTGTTTTCTTTAGAACTGCTGGGTGCCTGGGCCGTGGTTTCTTTAAGCAACACCCCCTTCAGAGGGGCAGCCGGGGACCCTGGGCTCGGGGGCTGGGGGTCGCGGGGGACCCACCACCTCGGGGGAAGCCTGCATCCACTCTGGGCCTCGGTTCCGATCTTGATCTTGGAGGCAGGGACAGGTTCCCAGACTCCACGTGGCATTTGCCTGCGGGTATGTATGTGTACACCCCTGTATTTGTGCACGAGTGCGTGTGTCTGTGTGTGCACGCACGTACACGTGGCAGAGCCCTGGGAGGCAGAGACCACAGGGCCTGGGGTGGTTTGGGGTAGCCTCCAGACTCAGGCTGTTGCCTGGCTTTGCGGGCGATGCCCCACCCCCATGGTCCCTGCATCCTGGATAAGTTCCCTGGAGGGGTCAGGTCCCACTGCTGTACCTGCCACCTGCCGAAGTGCTTGGGGACCTGACGGACTGTTCCTCCTGGCGTCTGGAGCCCTTCTGATCTCTGCCTGCTGCCCTAAGCAGTTGGGCAGGGACCTGCCCGATATTTGGGTGTGGTCGTTGAGGACAAGGCCCTCCACTTCCTTTCTCTCCCTCCCTCGGCCTCACCCAGAATTCCCTGAACAGAGTTTGGCCCTGTTGCAAATGCTCAGTCAGAGGGGCCCAGCATATTCCGTGTCCCCTCGGTGAGACTCCCTTAGTCTCTGGTGCTTAGAGCGATCGATAGCTGTGTTCTGCAACAGGTGGGCCTCGGTTTCGGGAGGAAAAACCACCGTGTGCTTCTCTTTGCACATAGGGCTTATTGACGTTGGGGAAACTTCGCTGTGCCCAGAAGACTTAGCTTCTGAGGAGGTCGTGGAACTGGAAAATCAAGCTGTCCTGAGCAGCCTGAAGCAGAAGTACCTCACCGTGCTTTCGAACCCCAGGTGGTTGCTGGAGCCCATCCCCAGGAAAGGCGGAAAGGACATCTTCCAGGTAGACATCCCAGAGCACCTGATCCCCTCGGGGCGGGAGGCCTGAGGAGTGGGCAGGCTTAGGGAGGAGCGCTGCGTCCTGCCCCGGGAGCTGAGCGTCAGACGGGGACAGCAGCGTGGTCTGGCGTGGCCCCGCTGCGGAGGCCGCTACGGCTGCATGCTCTTCGTGGACCCCGATTTCTGCACTCCTGTGCGGGGACAACTCGGCCGGACTTTCCTTGGGGGCTGCCCCTCTGGGCTCCTCGACAGCCTCAAGGACCCTGACCTTCAGGAGAAAGGGAAAGCTGCCATAAAGGCGTTTGCACCTCGACTAATTTGGATTGTACAAAGAAATAGGTTTTAAGAGAACTAGTTAGTGTCTCCCCCCTTCTCGTTTCTGGTCAAAAGTCAGAGAGGGCTTGAACAGCATCCAGGGACTGTTGTGGAAGGCGGGCCCGGGAGTGGCCAGCCACGTCGGCCTCATTCACGGTGACGAGGACATCGGACTGAGAAACAGAGCACCCGTCTGTCCTCTCAGATGACTGTTGCTCTGTTGTAAAAGCGACCCTTGGCCCATGAAGCATGCGTGTTCCACACATGGCACGGCTACTTCGTGTGCAAGAAGAGGACCCTAAATACAGCCCTGGTGGGGAAGTGATTGAGCGGTGGTGGTTCTTCTGTGGCGAACCTTTTGTTGTTGCTTTTTCCGTGTTCCTTGCAGAGTTTCTAGTAGTTGTTATCTCTGGGGATGCCGGGCCACCCTTGCCCCCCTCCGGCCATTGACTGGAAAGGTCTGTCTCTTCTGAGCTAGACTAACGGTGTCCTATGTCCCTGCTCTGAGGTGGGCCTCTTTGGAAGGCCTCTGGCACTCGCACTCGGCTGCTGATCAGAAACTTGCCGGCAGCACGAGGGGACCCATGAGGAAAGCCCCTCCTGTTTCAAACTACGTGAACGCTGTAAGGGGACACCACCAAGGTCAGGGGTGAGGCCTGCTGTCTTCTCCTGACCGGCCTGCAAGGCTCTGGGCCAGATCTTCCTGGGCCTTCCTCAACACTCGTAGCCAGCTCCTGGGCTGAGTGTGTGATAGTGCTGCTGCTTCAGAGGAAAGGGGACCCACCGGCACCAAAACCTGTCCCGGGCCAGGATTCCTAGCCTCCCCGGGGTGATCCGATGAGGCGTGTGTAGTATCACAGGTTAAAAAGAACACAGACTCGCCGTTGTCGTTTGATTGTTTATTTACTCCTGCAGAGTTTTGCTTTTCTTTATTAAAGCCAAAAACAGATTCACGGTTATACAGTAGTGATTGTTACTTGTCACCAGTGGCCTGTGAGCTTAGGGACCTGGATTGTCCTTGAAATGTTCACAGAGGGCACACCTGTAATCTGAGGAGCCCTCCTCCTCCTCGTTCTCGTTCTCGTTCTCGTTCTCACTGGGGACCTCGTCTGGGGACATGACCGAAAGGGCAGCCAGCAGGATGGAATAGCAGGTGTTGTACAGCGACATCACTGACCCGTAATCTGGGTAGAGTGCGGGGGCGGTGGGCAGCTCCCCCGCGCCCTCCCTTCCGGTGGTAGTCGGGGGCGCAACTGTGTCATTCCTGGAGGTGCCCTCCCCACATGGGCCGCCCTGCTCCCTGGAGGCAGGATTCTCCGTGTCACACCCCGCCGCGCTGCTCAGGGACCAGACACCAGAGAAGGTAAAGGACTCGGTGCCACTGGGTCCCGGAACATTTGGGCCTTCTTTGGGGGCCGCCTTGTCCTCCTTGGTGGATTCCTTGTGATGGATTCGTGGGGACCGTCTTGTAGGTACTACGGGCTTCTTTCTCTTTGACGGTGTTGCGCTGCTCCCTGGCCACCCGGTGACAGTTCTCAGGTCACTTTTTCTCTGAATATTCTCCAGCAGCCCTGGCCTGTCTCGCTGAAAGCGGGAGTTGCGGTAGAGCTGAAATGAGATTCATCATTTTAGACATTCTGGAAGGAAAGAGCCGTGTCCCCTGCTGCCCCCGCCGTCACCACCACCACGGCCACCGCTGTCCCTACTGCCATCACTGCCCCCACCCCGACCACCACGAGCATCGCCGCAACCACCGCCCCCCACCACTGCCACCACCACTCTCGCCCCCTCTACCCCCACCACCACCACTGTCCCCACCACCGCCACCGTCGCTGCAACCACCGCCTCCATCGCTGCCGCCACCGCCCCCACCACTGCCACCACCACTCTCGCCCCATCTACCCCCCCCCCACCACCACCACAGCTACTCCCTGCCCTCCCCCTGCCCAGGGCAGCCTTAATGGTCTAGTTCTACTAGGGAGAAAAGAGGCTGCCTGTGAGCTTCACTATGCCCTAGACCCTGAGCTCATGAACGACGCAGAATGCATAGGTTAAGGTGTTCACATACCTGCGTGACGTTCCCTGGCCTCTGTTTAGGCATAGAGAAATATGTTAATTGAAATATTAATAAGAAATGAAATCCTTTCATTAGATTGTTCATCTGGGTCTACTAGGAAGGTGTTAGAAGGACAGAAAACATGGGAAACGCAAGAACTTTCTACGTTACCATCGTTTTCCTGTTCCCTGGGGCATGAACCGAAGGGTTGTTTGGGCGTATTTTGCTGAACCCGTACAGGTTCATTAGGCGGATGAACCCCTTCAAGCTGTCAGTTTCAAAGATTCTCTCTGGGCCCCTCCGGTGGAGAATCTCCCTCTGGAAAAGGTCTTCATCGATGACCACAGTGTCGCCGTCTTCATTCCAGCACACGGACGTGAAGGTGTTGTCCTCCACGATCCTCCAGAGCCTTCTTGGGAAGGAGAGCCCGAAAATGTTTTCTCCCACGTTGTAGGCACCGTGGTTTGGGGCCGGTGGCTGTGGGTTGTCTTGGGGGCCTGGATCTCGGCTCACGGCTGGATCCTCATGCCTCTCCAGGTTCCTGGAATCCAAATTGAGGTGCAGGGAGGACCTGGACGGGACCTCTCCTGCCGACTCCCCATCACCGGGAGGAGCCGGCATGACTTGGTATGTGTTGTCGTTACTCTGACTAGCCATGGAGCTAGTCTAGATCAAGAGCATTTTCACCCTGAGGCCGTCCGTCTTCCTAGACTCTTGAGTCAGAAATGCCTCCAGCCAAGACAGGATGCCCACTATATACTGTTCACGGAATTCTAGAATTGCGTAGTGGGGCAACCGGGTGCCCGGGTCATCGCCCTCCTTATCTGTCATGTGATGTCACAAAGGCGGCTCCGAGCTGGTCTGGAGAGGGAACCCTGGCCAAGTGTGGGGGAGGGACAGGTACAGGCCCCCAGCTTCTCTCTTTTCTACGAGTATACAGAAGCATGGTTTGAGTTCTCCAGAAAGGCTCCTGGCTACAGCCAGGCACACTGTTTCCCGGGGCCAGGCGCTGGATGGGTAGAGAAGCCATGATTCTAGGTCCACTCCCACTCCCTGAGGACGGGGGAGACCTGTTGTTGGCCTCTCGGCTCAGCTCGAGGGCCAGGCCCTGGTTAGTCCTGGCTTGACTACCACCACATCCGTCCCAGTCAGATGGGCCCTTGGGGGACTGTATCTCTCAGAAGACGGCAGTCCTTAGCGGTCTAGCTGGCCTGGTCTCAGTTGGTAGCCCCCCCTCTTCTGCCTGCCCCCCCACTTCCTGCTTTGGTCTCTTCCACCTGCTTCTGTTGGTTAGGTGGTCCTGCTCAGATGGGCCTGAACAAAGAGTCCTTTTTTCTCGCCCCTGGATCCAGTGTTCCCAGAGTAGGGCTGAGCTCGGCAGGGTGAGCGCGTCCCTCTTGTTGCTCAAGCTCGGCGTCGCCCACAGCGCCTCAGACACACTGTTACCCACAGCGCCAGCGCCGTCTGTGAACGGCCACTGCCTCCACCCTGCTTGAGGGTCTCCTGTCAAGCTCTGCTTGTCCCCAGATCTCGTTCCTCTCCAGATCACGATGGGATTGTCCCTAGTTCCCATTTGTTCCCTGTAGAAACTCTCCCACGTTGGGGACACTTGTGTTCGCCCTTGGCAAAGCTCCTAGCACAGACAGGTGGACGCAACCTCCCTTGAGGCTGCCTCGAACGCCCGATCTCTTTTCCTCAGCGGAGTGCTGTGGCTCCAGCTCTCCCAGATTTCTGGCCTCCCGCTTCCCAGCTAGATCTCCTTTGGCACTTCCCCTTTTAATGACTTGACTTTGGGGTTCAGCATATATTCTGTTCAGTTGAAACAAAGCACTTCACGGGCCCACTCCCATGCCAGCCCTGCTCCCCTTGCCCCGAGCCCACCCCCACCCGACTCCGGTGTTCCTCTCCTACCTCGTCGTTACCTGGATGACCGATCCACTGAGTGATGGTGTTGGCTCTGGGGTTACTTTTCAAAGGGCCTACTCTATACAGACTCCCTCCCAAGGAAAATTTCGACTTGTTTAGCTAGACGTGACCAGAGGAAGCCAATACACAGTATCTGAAAATAGAGGAGAGTCTGGCTGTGGGGTGGGACAAAACCTAAATGAGAAGCCCTCTTCACCACAAGATGGGAGGTTGGGACGGTAGCTTGGGGCATTTGTGTTCTCTAGCCCCCGGGACAGCTCTGTTCTTAATCTTCACTCTGGTGCCGTGCTGCCCCATCCTTTGTTCCTGCTCCAGGGCTGCTGCCTCCAGAAGGCCTTCCTCCGGGGCCTGGGCCCCCTTAGGGCCCCTCTCCTGGGGCTCTCATGTCCAGCCCAGCTCGCACACAATCCCAGTCGAGGAGCTCCTCTCTCCTCATCCAGACAAGGAAGGAGGTCCTGGAAGACAGCAGTGACCACCATGTGAACCTGGTTCCCAAAAGTTCTGTGTTCCCCCAGCAGCAGCTGGAAAAAAGCTGTGCATTTTAAAAGGGTAGTAGGAGCCCTCGGGGAGGACACCTGCCTCACAGTGGCCGTGCCCATCGCTCCGTGGTGTCTGGGCCGTTTACTCTGGACCACAGTCCCTCGGGAAGTTGTCGGGAAAGGCCCAGCCGAGCCCGTGGAAGGTGGAGTCAAGCCCAGCTTTCACCTGAGGAAGTGGAGCCGGTCCCTTCTGCCTGCCCTGAAGCCACGAAGCCACCAGTCCCCTGTGGGGACAAGCAGCAAAGGAGGCTGTCTGGTCTGGTGCTGTCACATTTCTGTCCTTGTCCAAGGCTCAGGGGACACTGGGAAGCATATCCACGGGGCCATGGTGTAAGACGTGCCTTTCTAAAGGACCCACACGTTGGGGCGCCTGGGTGGCTCAGTGGGTTAAGCCTCTGCCTTCGGCTCAGGTCATGATCTCAGGGTCCTGGGATCGAGCCCCGTGTCGGGCTCTCTGCTCGGCGGGGAGTCTGCTTCCCTTCCTCTCTCTGCCTGCCTCTCTGCCTACTTGTGATCACTCTCTGTGTCAAATAAATAAATAAAATCTTTAAAAAAAAAAAAAAGGACCCATGTCCAAGCTTGGTTCCCAGCCGTCCTCCCTTGCTGTACACGGAGGCCCGGACTCTCCCAGTTTCCACTGGCTTCCTTTTCTGCAGTATCCGACACATCTCCCTCAGGGACCTTCTCCCACTGGGACTCGTGGTGTTAAAGTCACTCCACTGGTCTGTCTCTGCTGTGAACTCTGATGCCTGGAAACTGAACCCATCTCCCGGTGCTTCCTGCCTACTGGAGCCTCTGGACAGGGAGGCCCGTGTGGGAGGGAGAGGCAGCCTGCAGAGAGACAGAGACATCTAGAGACTGGAAAAGCAGGGTTCAGGCTGTGTTCCCGAAATGAGCCAAACAGGTCCTTGGTGCACGGGCCCCTAGGCGCTGGATTTCACCAGAGCGGACTGCCCCCGTTGGCTCAGACAGCCCCCAGCCCCCAGCTCCGATTTTCTTTCACATTGGCAGCTCTTCCAAGTGTAGCTTAGAGGAGCAGTTGGCCTTCTGGAGCCAGCCCGTCGGCCACACCCCGGCAAACCTCACCCCGTCTGCTAAGAATACAGGGGATAGAGCTTTGTGGTTCTCACACCCCAAGCCAGTCCCCGAGCTGCTGAGCTGAGTCCCCTGCCCAAGCAGTCCCTTCCCTGGCCTTTGTCCATTAACCCATGGGGCCACGGCGGCAAAACGCCGTGGCCAGAGTGGCCCAGGAATGCGGGACATCGCTCTCTCTCCCGGCGCTGGAGGCTGGAAGTGCAAGGTGCCAACAAGGGGCCAGCAAGGAGGAGTGAGAACCCTCCTCCTGGTTCGCAGCGCCCACCTTCTCACCGCATCCTATCATGGTGGAAGGGGCTGGGAACCTTCCGGGGCCTCTTTTACCAGGTGCTATTCCCATCCACGAGGCTTCCACCCTCAGGACCTAAACACCTCCCCCAGGCCCCACCTCCAAAGCCATCATCTTTGGTGCTCAGGATTTCCACAGATGTATTTGGGGGAGCGGGGACTCGCTGAGCATGGAGCACTCCACCGGGCATCGTGCCCCCCTGACCATAAGGGCCTGGGCAGTGTCATGCTGTGGGGGGCTCCCCTGTAATACGACTCCGTGCCCACACCACCCAGGACAGCCTGCTGTGTGCTGCTGCCTCTCCTGGCCTTGTCCTCTTCCTGGGCCAGCCCCCAGTCCCTGGAGGCCCCTGCAGTTTGCTCCTGAGCTCCTGGGAGATCACAGGTCTGAACCTTAGCGGCTGCTGTGGATCCAACATGAGGTGGAGGGTTTCTAGCCGTCAGCTAGGGCGTCTCTAAGGATGGCGAAGCAAAAAAGGCCTCTGCTCGAGGCGTGCCTTGACTTGGCGCAGGAAAGCCACGGACTCTGTCAGACCCGAGACTCACAAAGCCTCGTGGGCGGGCTGGAACGCCGAGCCGAACCTGAACGCGTGCACTGGGGTGGCCCTGTGCAGCCTCAGCATCAGCTGTGCGGAGGGGACAGCAAGCTAAGCGCCAGGGACAGATCTTGAGCTCTGGGATCCTTGCAGATGTGGGACAGCCCTCTGCGAGGCCCAGATCTGTCCAGATATCTTGGGTGCGTTCGCAGACCGTGAGGGTCCCTCCCAGATGTTCAGGTTAGAGGGCCGGTTCTCTCCCGCAGCGGCGTCATTGCTGCCTGTGGGCGTGGCATCCCGGACGCAGACCAGCGAGTGCCCTCCTAACTCAGGGCCCCCCCCGGGAGGCCACACGGCCCCGGAAGGCCCATCACCGGGACCCGGAGGCCTCCACACGCCCTGCACTGATCCAACACAGCCCCCTCTGCGTTGGCCTCATCGGCAGGCCTAGCCTGGCTGGTTGCAGTCTGCGACAAACACTGCTTGCCTGGGTCCCTCCCGCTTTCCCTGCTGCACCCACCGGGCTGTGAGGGTGTTCAGGCAGCCTTCCCGGGAAGGCTTTGCTCTTTCCTCTCCCCCTCGCGGGAGAAGCGATGTACACCCGTCGCAAAAGCTGTTGGAAATTCAGGACGTCATCCCCACCACCCCTGGACAGTGACGCGTCTTTCTGGTTCCCTTCTATGACGATGCTGGTCTGTGAAAATGCTTTCGTGCCCGCCACATAGGAGCCTCCAGACAAAAGGGCCTGGGAGAGAAGAGGGGGTGAGGGAAACAACGAAGTTTGATCACCGAACGACACACTGATTTGTCTATCTGGAGGAAAGGCGAGCCCCAAACCCGGGACATGTGGGGCGGGGGTTGGGCTCTGTGCTCCTGGGGTTCCAGAAGTGCTCCTAGAAGCCTTGTCCCCTCCCAAGAGATGCTCCTGTGCTGCCCCCAGAGCTGCCACAGGGCGGGCAATTCAAACCGACTGCCAAGCCTGGGAGCAGCCAGACAGCAGTGAGACAGGGTCGGGGGTGGGGGGGAAGCAAGCGGGGAGGGGAACCTCCAGCAGCACAGCCACAAGTCACCTCACTTCTACCATTCTCCACCCGGAGACCCGCGACACATCCCACAGGGTCAAGGCTCCGGCCCACCAGGTGGTCCAGCCCCACTGC